GCTATACTGTTTTCATCAATTCACCTTGCTGTACTTCCTAACCATTTATATTTTGGACTACAAAATACCCTCTATGTCCCACATAGCATGCTACACATAGGATAACAGAATCACAAATTATATAACTGGAAAGAATCTCAATAGCCATCAGTCCCATCCATCCATAAACAAGAGTCTCTTTAAATCCCTTTTAAAACCATATATGTGATTATTCAGTGGTTATCCAGTCTTGGCTTGAAGACTGCTAATAAGGGAGAACCCATTACCTCCAGAAGAGTAGTCAATTACTCATCTAGAAAGATCTACCTGTTAGGAAGGATTTTTCTTCACATTAAACCAAAAGCATGTCTTTGACACTTCAACCTGAGACTCTTAGCTTTGCTTTCCAGGATTGAACAGAATTGAATTGATTCCCTTCTCCAAAGGACAATTCTTCAGATACTTGAAGATATCTGTCATGTCTCCTCAAAATCTTCACTTCTACAAATGGAGATTGAATATCTCCAATTCCTTTAACCCATTCACATATTCTCAGTAAAAAATAGTTAACATACTAATAGCTAATATTTATGGAGTGCTTTATGTTACAAAGCACTTTACAAGTATTACTTCATTTGAGCCTTACGACAATTCTATAAATACACTGAGAGAGATTAAGTGACTTACCCAGAGTCAAACAGCTAGTAAGTGTTAGAGGCAGAATTCAAACTCAGGTCTTCCTGATTCCTGTTCTGGTACTCTCTCCACTTTGCCACACAGATGCCTATTTGCCCTCTTCTGGAATCCCATCAGCTTATCAACATCTTGCCTAAACTATAGCACCCAGAACTGAATACAGTTTTGAATACATTCTCCTACTGGATCTAATAAGAGCAGAGGGAAATGGGACTTATTCTTGGAAGTGATCCCTTTCTTAATGCAGCCTGAAATCACAAGAGCAATTTCGGCTTCAACATCATAACCCTGGTTTATATTAACCTTGAAATCCACTAAGACCTTCTGCATAAACATGTCTCCCCATCTTACATTTGTGAAATCAAATTTTTGGAATCAAGCATAAGCTTTTACATTTATTTTTCTTAAATAAGATTTAGCCCAATTTTTTCCCATTGGTCTCCAAAGTGAGGACTATGAAATCAACCCTAGGTAAGTAGAGACTTGTTTGAAAGGGATAGGTGATCAGCTGATCAGAGAGAGGTAACATTCTACTTTTACCCCCTTAGCCAATCCTGGCCTTATCACCAGTGCAACTGTATCATCCCCTTTCACACTCTCTCTAGTTCACCTTCTACAGATGGTCATCAGAGGCTGCACTCCTCAAGGAAGTTATAACCTAACTTGACCCAGGCATCCACAGAAGCTAGGCAGGCAAATTCCACAATCTCTTTCCCCGCAGTGTCTTAACACCCAGATCACCCTTACTGTTGAAGCATAATCTGTATCTCAAGATAATGGTCAGTAGGTAAGGTCCCACTTCTCAAACATTTTTCATTTTTAATGGGAAAGAATGAGTAGCAAAGCATGGGTAGCCATGGATGGATTATGATCTTTTCACCAGAACTCAACCCTTTTCTGCTCTTCTAAACTTTCTTATTTCTATAAATGGAATCCCCAACCTTCAAGTTTCCTTATCTTATATCTATGTTTAAGAAAGTTGATGTATGTAGACAAAATTATATTGACATCTTTTTTCTTTTATTATTTTCAATTAACAAGAATATTTTTCTGTCCTTCCTATCTTTCCTTATTTAAAACAGAGGAATAAAGAAAGAAAAAGAAAGAAGGAAGGGATAGATGGAGGGAGGAAAGGAAGGAAGAAAAGGAGGAAGGGAGGAAGGAAGAAAAGGAAAGGAAGACAATCTTAACAAATATCTATAATCAGGCAAAACAAATTCTTACATTGACCATATTCGAAAAATATGTCTCATTCTTCACCTTCAGTTCTGTCCTGCATATGCTGAGCTTGAGATGTCTATAAGATATCCAGTTTGAAATGTTTGAGAGGGCTTTGATGATACTTGACCAGCTGAGGAGACAAACTAAGTTTTGAATTAAGCTATATTTCTTTAAAAAAGAAAAAAATAATTCCCCAATGTCCTGGCTCTTTGCTTTGTTTAAAAACAAAAATAAAAGCAACTGATAATAGATAGGATTTCTACTGCTTGCTTGTATGATTTAAAAATTCCCAGAGTCCCTCCCCTCCCTCTCCTGGAGCCCACCCAAGCAGAAGAAGAGGGCTGTGCTGGTTCCAGTAGCTAGCCTCGCCAGCACCAACCTGGCCACACCCTTTCTCCTCCTAAGCCCTCCCCCTGCCTTGGACTCCGCCATGATCAAGGCTATGATCTTCATCTTCAACAACCAAAGGAAACTCCAGCTCTCCAGGTTTTACCAACTCTCTAGTAAAGATTTTATTCATTTACAATCATGTTTGACTCTTCATGACCCTATTTGGGGTTTTCTTGGCAAAAATACTGAAGTGGTTTGCCATTTTCTTCTCCAGCTCATTTTTACACATGAGGAAACTGAGGCAAATAGGGTGAAGTGACTTGCCCAGGATCACACGGCTAGCAAGTGTCTGAAGCCAGATTTGAATTCAGGAAAAGGAGTCTTCGTGACTCTAGGCCCAGCATTCTATCCACTGTGCCACCTAGCATAGCAAAGATACACAGCAACAAATCATCAGGGAAACTTCTCATTTGGTGTCTAAATGAGATGAAAATATGTGTAATTTCCTAGAAGGAGGCTTGATAATAGGTAGCTCTGACAATAAACTGATTGAAAGACATTATGCCACATTCTATTTTGTCTTCTTTGTGGATTCTTCAGAAAGTGAACTTGGCATTTTAGTACTCATGGAAACTCTAGACAAGTGTTTTGAAAATACCTGTGAACTGGATTTAATCTTCCATGTACATAAGGTCCACAATATTATGGCAGAAATGGTGATGAGGGTAATGGTTTTGGAGACCAACATGAATGAAATTGCTACTCAAATTGACATGCAAGATAAACTGGAGAAATCTGAGTCTGGCTTAGCAGGAGCTCCAGAGTGTGCAGTATCCATTGTAAGCAATATGAATCTTCCTGACATCACAAGAAATAATAACATTGGTGAGATTAGCATAAAAGTGCCAAATCTGCCCTCTTTTAAATAAAAGGCTACTCCCAAGTAAAATCCAGGAGGGGAAAAGTGATCTAGTTTTACCATGCAATTGTTTACAAAAAAAAAAAGAGGGAGTCTTTACTTTTACTGTTGGGTTAATTTAAGAAAAGATATTGTATAGAATTGTGCAATGAGAGGAATTATTATTTCTCTCACAGTAATAACTAATTATTGAATTAGAACCAAGTTTTTTTTCCCTTTTCTATTTCCTTATCCAGAAATTAACCAGGTTGAGAAATCTTTCTTAAAGACTTACCCAGCCAGGATAGCTGAGATCTAATCAAAGACAGTAAAAGAAATTCTAAATGTAGGCTAATGGTGCTCATTGTGTTTGCTCAGACAGGTCTGGGAAAATGTGGATCCTCCCTTTTTCAGACAGGTGATATGGAAATGATAAGTCTCTTTGACCAAGATTTGGGTGATCCAAGACACATTGTCTCAAGAACCTCATTGGAATATAGCCCAGCCTGTCACTGTAATATTCATTTTCTCATTAATTATTAACCAATCAGAGTGATTGCCACCCTACCCTTCCAAGAGCATATAAACTGTGAGCCCACAACCATGAGGTGTCTTTGGCATTCAAGAGGGCCACTGACCTCCTTTTATTAGTATATCTTCTGGCATTATTAATAAAATGATTAAATTACCCAGAAACTATGTCTCTGTAACTTTTTAAACACCGCAGCATAAAATCAGTTTTTTAAGATGAATATTACTTTTGTCTCGCTCAGTGATTTTTAAGGAAATAGGTAGTTCCTGTGTGACTTTTTTTTCCTTCTAAATTACATTCCTATGACCTCATAAAGTATATCATCTTGGTTACAATAGCATTTTGAAAATATATTTAAAGTATTCCATTATTATGTAAAACCCAAAATATCGGGGCATTTTGTATATTTCATGGAATTCTGTGACTGTAGCATTCTTTAACTCTTCCTGTCATTTGTCACGATTATTTAAAAACTACATCTATGTTGCATAAAAGCATCCTTTCTTTTTTAGGAAAAAAAAACCCTCTAAATTAACTGGAAAAAATAAAATAAAAACTCCCAGGGAAGAATTTTGTTTTTCACTTTTTATTCAATAAACCAATTGCCTTGAAGACACAGGAGAATACAGGAAAATCTGATGAAGGCCTCAGGTCATGCTGAGACCTAGGCCATGCTCAAGGCCAAGCTGAGACATGAGCTTTATTTGAACTACTTGAAAGAAAGGTGATGTATTGATTCAAGTTATTGTTGTTGCTTTCCTGGATATGATCTTTACTTGGATAGGTTTCCTGTTCTTCCCTCAGGCATATGGTTTGTTTGGCCATTGTGGGGTAGAATGAGCAAACAGGGCCCTGGGCTGGTATCTGCTTGCATTCTGCATTGAGTTCAGCCCATTACTGATGCTTCCCTCCAGGGTACTAGCAGTTTTTAGCTAGTGTTGTGATGTTCATTTCAAGTCAGTACAAAGACACCCCAAAGCTCAAGCACCACCCCCACCCCCAGAAGGCAGATTCAGTTGAGATCACAGAATCATGGAATCAAAGCAAATTAAAGCTAGAAGGGACCTTAGGCACCAACTGATTCAATGTTCTCAGTTCATCCAGAAGGAAAATGAGGCCCAGGTGTGTGAGGTGACCTGCCCAAGGCCATATTGTGAATTTATAGCAAAGTCAAGTCTAAAAGCCAGGCCTCTAGACCCTTAGTCCACTGTCTTTTCTCTGTCCCAATAATTAAATTTACCATGCTTTAGGCATATGGAAAAGTACTATAAGTGTAGTCAAACACTGATGCTTTTATATTGTGTTGTCTTTCTATTATTAAAAAAATAAAGATCACATCAGGGCCTTATAATGACAACTGTATGCAAAGCCACATCCCTTTCTAAGCAACAGAATGCACCAGTCAGACAGCTACCTGTCCTGGTGATGATCACCTGTGATAACACAGGCTAATAAAGGGGATCAATAAGCAGACAGTGATTTTCCCAGCAGCCGTCATGTTAATGAGAGGCAGCTTTTGATGTAGCTCTGAAAATGGGCCTAGCAGACAGTGCGCCTAGAGAATAAATTCCCACAGGGTTGCTGGTCCTTAATGGACTGCCCCAACGTTGTGATCAATTCTCTCCCCTACCCTTCCCCTCACCTCAACCCAGAGCTTAGGTCCAGGTAAGGAATGAATTTGTTCTCCATTAAAAGGAAACAAATAAGATTAAAATCAAATTTCAAATCCCCCCCCCCGCGCCACAGATATCATATTAGCATAATGTTTTAGTTTAGAGAAACATAGTAGGCCCAGGAAAATATATGGAGACCCTCATGTTCTGTTGAAGAACCACTCTTTTTTTCTCCTTATTTCTCTTATAAAGGACATTTTTGGCTTTTGCAATAAGTAGATAACACACTAGACTTGGAATCAGGAAGACCTGAGTTCAAATCCTGCCTCAGACACTAGCTGTATGATTTTGGACAGGTCACTCAACCTCTCTGTGTCCCAATTTCCTCATTTCTAAAATAAAGGAGTTAGACTCAATAGTCCATTAGGTTCTTTTCAACCATAAATCTAGGATCTTACTGAATTTTTTTCCCCTGATTAATAAAATTATAAAATTTTAGAGTTTCAAAGAATCTTGAAAATCATTTAGTTCAGCTCTCTCATTCTACAAATGAAGCTATCAAAGCTGAGATGGGAGGAATAACTTGCCTAAGGTCCTAAATGTCACTGGCAGAGGCAGGAACCCAGGATGCTCAACTCTAGTAAGGGTCTCCATCTGCTACCTGATTCTCACTTTCCAATTTGTGACTCACATCCCCAACCAACCCTAGGTTGGTTTCAGGTATGTCCAGAGACTACCTCAGGCTTTAATATTCCATAGGTGATGAGATTAAATGCAGTTTGTGCTCATTATTATGTTACAGAATCACAGAGCCATAGACCATTAGAGATGGAAGGCACATTAGAATTCATCTAGTTCAACTCCTAATTTTGGAAGAGAAAGGTTAAGTGATTTGCCCAAAGTCACACAGTAAGCTGGGATTAGAAACCAAGATTCTAAATACTTGGTCAAGTGCCCTTTCCATAACACTATGCTTTACTCTAAGATCTGTCTCTTCCTAGCTGCTATGTTTATTGGGAAATTATTAGTTTAAGTATGTTAAATGAACATCTGGAAAAGGAAGCAGTGAACACAAAGAGTCATCATGGCTTCATCAAGAATAGGTCATGCTAGACTAATGTGGTTTCCATTTTTGACAGGATTACTAAACTTGTATAGTTGGCCTTGATTTCTGCAAAACATTGGATAAATGACATTATGCTATTCTTGTGTAAAACTGGGAGAGATGTGGACTAGATGAGAACAGAATTAAATGATTCAAAACTAGTCAAATGACCAGACTCCAAGAGCGCCTAGTATCAATCTGGCAGGAATTCTCTAGCGGCATGCCCCAGAGGTCTCTATTCGGCCTTCTGATGATTAACATTTTATCAATGGCTGGGACAAAAGCATAGATGGTATGTGTATCAAACTGAAGATAACATAAAGTTGGAAGGGACATCTAATAGAAAATATGACAGTCCAAGGAAGGAAAGCTATGGCAAATCTAGGCAGCATACTGAAAAACAGAGATGTCACCTTGACGACAAAAGTCCATATAATCAGAGCCTATAGTTTTTCCAGTAGCAATGTATGGTTGAGAGTTGGACTGGAAGGAAAGCTGAGCACTGCAGAATCAATACTTTCGAATTGTGGTGCTGGAGAAGTCTTTTGAGAGGGACTTGGACAGCAAGGAGATCAAATCAGTCGATACTTAAAGAAATTAACTCAGTTTATTCACTGGCAGGTCAAATACTGAAGCTGAAACTTTAATATTTTGGTCACACAATAAGAAGATGGCACTCATTGGAAAAAAGACCCTGATGTTGGGAAAGATTGAAAGCAAAAGGAAAAGGGGACAGCAGAGGAGGAAATGAATAGATAGTGTCATGGAAACAATGAACATGAACTTGGACAGACTTCAAGAGATAGCGGAGGACAAAAGGGGCTGATATGCTATGGTCCATGGGGTCACAAAGAGTTGGACACAGATGAACAATCGAACAACAACCAGTTCCAAAAAGATTTAAATAGGCTGGAAGACTGGGCTGAATCTAATGAGATAAAAATTTAATGGAAATACAAGTAGTCTTATACTTCAGTTCAAAAATTTTACTTCATACAAACAACATGGAGAAGGCATGATTAGATAACACTCTGTCTGGAGAAAGATCGGTGGGCTGCACATTCAATATGAGTCAATAGTGGAATATGGTAGCCATGAAAGCTAACACAAACATGGGCTTGCATTAAGAGAGACACGGCTGCAAGAAAGTTACTCTCTCTGTAATCTACCCTGGTCAGAACATATCTAGAATATTATGTTTAATTGTAGGTGCTACAAGGTATGGATAAACTGAGAGTGTACAGAGGGAGGCAACCACAATGGTAAGGGACTTTTAGTCAGTGTCATATGAGGTTAAAGACCTAGGTATGATTAGCCTCAAAGAAAAGACATAGCAGATGTCATTTTTATCTGCAAATACTTGAAAGGCTTTCACCTGGAAAAAGGTTTAGACTCATTCCACTTGGCCTAAGAGAACTGAACTGGTAGTAACGAATGGTAGTTTCAAAAAGGTACGTTTCGGCTTGTGGTAAACAAAACTACCTGAGAAGTAAATCTGTCTCAAAGTGGAATGGGATGCCTCGGGAAGGTAAAGGTTCCCCTCATTGGAGTGCTACAAGCAGAGGCTGGATAACCAGTTGTTGGGCGTGTTGTAGTGCGGATTGGACTAGGGATCCACTGAGATCCCTTCCAACTCTACAGTTCTGTAACTCTGAATGGAGAGACAGACAAAAGCTACAATTATACCCCCAAAAAAGGGCAAAAACATGCTAGAACATTAGTATTCCAGTATTGGCAAGGCAGTTAAATTTCAATTGTCCACACTGACAAAGGCAAGGATAATCCAAAACACACTTACAATAGCTTTGAAATCCAGCCAGAGAAACTGAAGCCCATCTCCACAAACTTAAACATATGTACTCTTAGTTTTTTGCCTGATTATGCGACATTCCTAGCTAAACATCAACTCTGGCTGTGTAGGACTCAGAATGGGTTGGGAAAGAGGTTGTAGATTAGCCACAGACTTGAATGTATGAGAACTGATTGTTAAAAGATTTTTAAATTTAAATCCAATGACTTTCCTTTCAAGAGCTCAGAGCAATTTCGCAGAGACAATCTAATACCTCCATCCCCAGAATATCCCATCTTCATGTTAGAGAATTGAGGCCTAGAAAGGTTAAGCAAATTCCATAATGTTTATATTCAATGTTGAAGTAGGGACCTTGAGTGATGACTTCAAAGATTGTATACTTCTCACAAAGATGAGCTACCTCCCCAGGAAAATCTAACCAGTTGGTATTTGTGTCACCTAGGGGCCATCAAGGAAAATTAAAGCCCTCAGACTGCATGTGGATTTTAACATGTGAAAACAAAGGGCCTAAACAGAGAAAATCAGGCAACCAAAATAAATTCTGCCTCAGATTATCACCATGGGACAAAATTTCCAACAGCTTAAAAAGACGGCCTCATAGAAGCTGTTTTGTTTTGTTTTGTTTTTTGAGAGAAAAAAGAAACTCACCTTTGGCAGGGAATACTTGGGCAGCTTGATCTGGGCAAAGGGTTCTCTTCTGTAGGACACATAGTAGCTGGCTCTTCCACTCGAAGTCACCTAGAGGAGAAAACAAGACAAGACATTTAATCAAGTATTCAACATTTATTAAGTGCTGACTGCTTCCTGGGCACTATGCTAGGTGTGAGGGAATACAAAAATAAAAATGAAATGATCCCTGCCCTCAGAGAACTTACATTCTATTGGGGGAAACAGCATATTCATCTGCAAGTATAGATAAAATATACCCAGAATCACAGAATTTGAAAATGGGAAGGAATCATCTCATCTAAACCATGAATACAATGAATCTCCAGGATAATAATACAATCGAACAAGTCGTTATCCAGTCTCTGCTTGAAGACCTCCAAGCAGAGGAAACTGGCCACATGGCCCATTCCGCTTTGGGACAGTTCTAATTCTTAGTAAGGTTCTCCTGAGGTCAAGATTAAATTTGCACCTTTGGAACTTCTACTCATTGTTCTTGGATCGACAGATTTGTTCTGTGATGAGAACAAATCTAGTTCCTCCTACACATGACTTCTCTTCAGATATCTGAAGACAGCTGTCATCTTCCTTCTTCTTCTCTAATAGTCCTGTCTTCTTGGGGCTAAACAAGCCCAATTCCTTACACTGGCCCATATCCCTCAGCCATTCTAGTTGATCACTTTAAACACCCTCTAGCTTATCAATGTGTTTTTTTTTTTGAACCTGTAGCAACCAGAAGTGAAACTAATGTTTTACAGTTACTCCTTCCACATCGCGACTTTCCCCACTGCAGTTTCAACATATCACACAGGTCAGCATAAAAAATTTAATGAGAATTTTGGGGGAGTTTTGTGAAAGACACAGATGACGTGCAAAAGCCAGTAGATAACAGAGAAAGGTTTAGAAACTCAGAAATGCATAAAATGTATTTATAATATGGTATAATATCAATATATTTTATCTTTTAATACTATAATAATTCAGACTTCTTCTCAGGTACAAGGGGAGGGCTAAAAAATTTAAAGTGAACTTTCTAGATCATGAGGGGTGCCACACCCTTAACCACATGATGTGGAAGAGATAAATATAAATGATAACTGACCAGAGCATTATAGGGTGGGCCTTTGAACTTCCTATTCCTAGAAGTTTAGCTTTCTTAATATGGCCCAAGATTAAATTAGATATTTTTTTGGCTATTACATCATACTGTTGATACATATTGAGCTTGCAGTCCAGTAAAATTGTCAGATCTTTTTCAAGACAAATTGCAATCAAGCCATACCTTCCCCATATTATACTTATAAGGTTTATTTTTTGTATCAAGATTTTACATTTATTTCTATTAATTCCATCTTGTTAGATTAAGCTTAGTGCTCAAGCCTGTCAAGATCTTTTTTGATCATGACTCTTTTGTCTGATGTGTTAGTTATCCTTACTAGCTTTGTATTAGCTGCAAATTTGACAAGTATGCCATGTATGCCTCATCGAAATCACTGATAAAAATGTGAAATAACACAGTTCCAAGCACACATCCCCAGGGCACCCCAGGAGTTCTTCTGTCACATTGACACTGAGCCTCTAACAACTCTTTAAGTCTGACCATCCAACGAATTCTCAAATCAATCTAATTGTATTCTCATCTAATCCATAGCTACTCATCTTCTCTACAAGAAGACTATGAGATACTTTATCAAATGCTTTGCTAATATCTAGGTAAACTACATCCAGAGCATTTCTTTCATCTACTAGTTTAGTAATCCATGCAACAAAGGACATGAGATTACTCTAGGATGACCCAGTCTTTTTTTTTTTTTTTTTTTTTGGTGAGGCAGTGAGGGTTAAGTGACTTGCCCAGGTTCACACAGCTAGTAAGTGTTAAGTGTCTGAGGCTGGATTTTTACTCAGGTCCTCCTGACTCCAAGGCCAGAGTTCTATGCACTGTACCACCTAGCTGCCCCTTAGGGTGACCCAGTCTTGATGAATCCATACTGGTTCTTGGTATTCACTGCCTCCTTTCCTATACCTACCTTCCTTTCCTTACCTACCACCTCTTTAGTGATCCATTATAGATTTTCTCCTCCCAGGAATGGAAGTAAATCTCACTCAGCTATAGCTCGCAGACTCTGTTCTATTCCCCTTTTAGAAAATAGGGACAGTTGTCCCTCACCAATCTTGTAATCTCTCTTTCACTTTCCAAAGTCTTTCAAATATTATTGACCGATGCTCTGTAATGACATTTGTAAATTCTTTCAGTAACAGAGGATGTAGTTCATCCGGACCAGGACAAGTGGCACTCACGACTGTTTTGTTTCTTATCTTGGGTATTATCTCCCTCTAATTGTTCTGTCACTTCCAGTGAAAACAAACAAAATAAGAATTAAGCAGCTCTGCTTTCCCTCTTGCCAGTTATCATTGTCCCATCTATACCAAACCAAGGCTCTATTCCTTCACTGAGTCTCCTTTTTTCATAATATGGCTTTAAACTATTTTGTTGCTGTCCTTAAGACCCCTCCGAGCCTCAACTCATTTTGAGTTTTAGTACTTTGACACTAATTTTACACTATTTTGTTCCTAAATTCAGTCTGTTCCCTAGTCCTCCTCCTTCCATCTTCTTAAGTCTACTGTACATAATGCATACAAAAGAAATAAAATGTAGGTGTACAAAGTAATTCTGAGGAGAAACATTAACAGCTATGAAGATCAGAAAAGTCCTTATATAGGAGGTGATGCTTGAGAAATGTTTGGAGACACTAGGAATTCTAAAAGATATGGGAGATGGTCCATGCAAAGACAAAGCTATTGGGACATCAATTCACAGGATATAAGAACTATAAGGGAACTTAGAAACCATCTCATCTACTCCCTTCCTTTTACACATATGTAAAGTGGGGCCTGGAAGCTAGGTGACAGCTCGAGAACGGCAAAGACACTCTTTTTACTCCTCTATCCTGAACGTTTAAACCCTCTCATAGTTATGAAGGGTTGTAGCTCCTCATAATAACCAGGTGTAGGATTGTGGCTTCATTTTGGGCATAGGTTTTGCTGGTCCTTTGAGTGCTTCGTCAAGACATTCAGAGGGAGGACATCTGTATGCTAGCCTCCTCACACCCCCTCTCATTCTTTGGTCGTTGAAATGTGTGCTACCCTTTTGATTGAGGGGCCACACTGTTGTTAGAAGAAGCAAATCCTTGTAAATGATATTATTTATATGTTCTGGCAATTCCAAGCAGACTCTCTGAGGGTACTAATTACTCTGAACTTAAATTACTCTGATCTGTGCAAAATGAGTCTATTTGCTATTTTCAGATGAAAGCATAAGCAATTATTTACAAAGAATAAAAAGGCAGTTTTGTGATCAAATTGTCTGCTCAATTACGGGAAGATATCCAACAGTGCTAAAGGAGAATCATTATTCCATCTATGGTGTAGACCCATCGATCAAGCTCATCTTTATTGAACTTCTACTACGTGCCCCACATGGTGGGAGATACAAAGATTTATGAGACATGCTCCCTTATTATGCCATAGTTTGTACTGGCCTTATTTGAGGATGTTTATTATCTCCCTTAAAAAGCTTTGAGCACTTCAAAAGAGAGAATATGTAATATTTATCTTGTCTCATCAACAGTGCTGAGCACGGCAGATATTTAATAAATGTTTGTTGAGTTTGAATTCCCTGCTATTCATCCACATAAGAGCCCAACAACAAAGTGAGAAAAGTAGTTGACCACCATAAGTAAAGGCTCAGTCCTTTACTAAACGAACTTGCTCTGAACCAAGAATTGTCAGATAGGAGGGTCTGGCCCTCTCCTACCTACTGCCTGGAGGTGACAAACTTCAGAACCCAGGCTCTGAGGGAATCAAAGAGGAGAGGTCTCTGCCAGTTTTAGGTAGAGTCTCTGTCCTTGCTGAAAGAGCCTATTAGCAATCCTGATGAAAGGAGAACTGTAACACTCCAAGCTGAAGAGAGTGCAGTAACACAGAGTCAAACCAGAGGCTAAAGGTGGTAAAGACTGCAGTTGCCCATAAAGGAGCCAGTCCAAGGAGTATAGCAGATTGATCCAGCCAGCAGATATATCATGACCTATGAAGAGCCCAGTGACTGAGCACCTTGCTTGATCCACTTTGCAACAGTAGTTCAGTGGTCAAGCAACCTGACATTTAAGTCGGGCCCTAGTGATGAGTCAGCTCTAAAGTCAAGTGTCCTGCTTGACTTAGCTTAGTTAAGGATTCATCTGTTGAGCTGAGACATCATGTAAAAACAATTTAGAGGGGGATGGACAGGAGAAAGTGCAAACGAATGTGAAGTCTCATCGAGAATAGAGGTGATCTTTTCCCCAACGTATCTATCCTCTTTCCAACAGAGATTATTGTAAAGGAAGGGAGGTTTTTAATAGGGACATAAAAATGATTGGACCCTGGGGATAGTAGTCAGAAACCAGGTTTTGAGGGTTTGAGGATGCAACTGACAGGCCAGTGAAAGAGGTGCGGGGCCAGTATTCTCTGGGAGAAGCATGCCCTCTCCAGGGAGACAGCCTCTGGACATTAGCACCCTGGATAAAATCCCTGGCTGCTGCCCTGCCCTAGTTAAAGCTCTGAATATATACTAAATGCCCAGTAAGTAGCACAGAGAGTATGTCCTCTGGGAGTTCAGAGGAAGGAGAGGACAGATGCTGGGGTACTCCAACATTAGCTTGGCTTCTTTTGCTCCTTTGGGTTCCTCTAACACTTCTGGGGATACCCTTCAATTGGCACTTAATAAAAATGGCCTTGTATTGTTAATTATATTTTCATGTGTGCTTCCTATTTTCACATTTCTATAAGTAGCTCTGGGAGGTCAAGGACCACATCTCTTACATCTCTCTCTCCCCCAGTAAACCCATCCCAAGGCAAAGAGGAAAATAAATGGCTCAATAAATATTAGTTGATTGATAGTGTGACCTCATATGACTTTGACAAGTCTAGGGAGCTGTCTGTGATTTTTTGAGCTTTATAATCCTAGAGGGTTGTGTCCAAGGTCAACTTGGTTTTTATTTAAATGCTGGCTGATAATTCTCTTACTTACAGAATAT